AGCTATCACTGCCCCTACATAGTTAGCATGGCTATGACTGTCCTTACATAGTTAGCATGGCTATCACTGCCCCTACATAGTTAGCATGGCTAGCCCTGCCCCTACATAGTTAGCATGGCTATCACTGACCCTATAGTTAGCATGGCTATCACTGCCCCTACATAGTTAGCATAGCTATCACCAGTGTTGGGAAAGTTCTCTTTCTACGTGAACTAGTTCAAAGTTCAGTTCACACATTTTAAAATGAACTAGTTCAGTTCATAGTTCACAATTCCAAAAAACGAACTAGTTCATAGTTCTTTTTTTTTCAAATATTGCTCAATTACACCATAGCCTACTGTAGAACCACAGACAGCAATTATTTTATCAGTTGTAACTCTGAAACTGTGCGTCAGATTTCATCTTCATATCCAGTTTTGAATCCTTATCCAACCAGGGTTTACATTAGCATTGAGGGGACAGCATTTCCCCATTGTTCCTTTAATGCTTTGTTGCTGTCCATTCACTTCACACTAGTAGCAGCTGCAGCTTTCACCCCTACAGTATTTTCTCAAAAACATCAGATCAAATGTGCTGCTTGAATGGTCTTTTTTATGAGTAATTATTAAAAGAAAAATAGGAAAGTAGTTTTTAAGGTGCAAATGTTTTTTTTTTTTATTTTAATAATTTTTTCCATTTGAAATTCCATTTCAATACATACTAAAAAGGAATCCTGGAAAATTATACCAGGCAGGTTTAACAAACAAGTTACATGGATAGTAAAACCCTCAAGAACAGGGGTCTTCTTTTCCAGACCAAGGACCCCCAAACTGATGGCGAGATGGAGCGGGGACCCCCTAACTATATATATTGTATGAAATTGTGTCCTATAGTCACTCTATTACAGATGGAGTAATGTAAAGAAATTAATTTCTCCCTGGGATTATTAAAGTTTTTCTGATTCTGATTCCTGGTTGATGGGACAGGTGTTGTGAAGGAAACGGTGCCCAGCTTGAAAGAGCTCCTGTGTGTCGCTGAATGTGAGCATTGATGACTGAAAGACATCTTCTGCCTCCATTTATCTGTTTACTACAGTGTGTTGATTTCATGTTGAGTATTTAAAGACATTTCAATTAGTGGGGAAAAAAATGCAGGGGGGGAATATAAAAATATCAACTAACCATGCAGACCCTCATGCAGTACCTCCGTAGACCCCCTAGGGGTCGCGGATCCCCCGTTGAAGACCGCTCAAGAAGATTTTACTAACACAAACTGAGGGACCAGGCTGAGGTAGGAATTTAAGGTTACTGAAGTGCGGATTTTTTTACTGAAAGCCGGCGGGCAAACTTGTTGCCATCATCCTCACCGACCACCTGGTCATAAAACTGTTTTAAGTCGTCTCCTTGCTGCTGTGGCTTCCACGCTGCATTTTGTTTTGATGACGCACGCGGCTGTAGGCTACGACGCTGGTAGCTGCTGTTGCCAGATTGGGTGTTTTTCCCGCTACATATTAAGGCCTGTTTACGGTGTGATTTAGCCGGGGTTTCGCCTGGAGGACTCTATAGAAATCTGGCAACCTATTGAACGGAGTTGAACTGAGAGAGCCTGCCGTTCACAGACACCAGAATGAACGAGTTCACAATAACGTTCACCAGGCAATAATGCAGTACGTTCAGTTCACGTTCGCCCAAAATATGAACGAGTTCATGAACTTTCGTTCAATGAACGCGTTCAGGCACAACACTGGCTATCACTGCCCCTACATAGTTAGTATGGCTATGACTGCCCCTATAGTTAGCATGGCTATCACTGCCCCTACATAGTTAGCATGGCTATCACTGCCCCTATAGTTAGCATGGATATCACTGCCCCTACATAGTTAGCATGGCTATCACTTCCTCTATAGTTAGCATGGCTATCACTGCCCCTACAAGGTTAGCATGGCTATCACTGCCCCTATAGTTAGCATGGATATGACTGCCCCTACATAGTTAGCATGGCTATCACTGCCCCTATAGTTAGCATGGCTATGACTGCCCCTACATAGTTAGCATGGCTATCACTGCCCCTATAGTTAGCATGGCTATGACTGCCCCTACATAGTTAGCATGGCTATCACTGCCCCTATAGTTAGCATGGCTATGACTGCCCCTACAAAGTTAGCATGGCAATCACTTCCCAAACAAAAATGAAATTGTACTTTTTTTCTGGTTATGCCTAAAATCACTGTAATAAAATTTGTTTTACTTTTGTTTTATTGTTAATTAAATACATAGGAGTGTGGTATTATTAGGATAATTATATTTAATGATGTGTGAGCTTATTACACCTTAATATTAGCTGCCTGATGCGTGTCAGAACTGATGTTTTCCCCAGTAGTTTATCTAATTTAGACAGTTTCTCTGTCCGGATATATAGTTATAATCTTCATTCTGTTTGTGGTAAAGATTTGGGAATGGAATGAGAGCGGTGTCCATCAGCTAACAACATATTTTGATAAGGCTGGAGCCATGATGTCTACTCATCTGCTAAAGTGTATGATGTAAAATACTATAATGTGGCAGACTGGAGTTAGTATAAAATGCCTCTTTAACTGATCATCAGGGTCACTTCCCGAGAAGTGAGCCCGGCTGGTCAGCAGCTGCCTTCTGTAACTCTAAGCAACTTCTCTCATCTGAGTAAGACTAGAATTTCTATTAGAACCTGTTGCCATGTCTCCTGGTTATGTAATACATAAACGTTATGAAGTGTTATTTAAAGAGTTTGTCCAGAGTGAACTTTTTTTAGGAAAACAGAACCGGAGAGAGAACCTCTCCAAGGTGTAGACATTTGGCATTTGATTAATTAGATGAGCCCTTGAATGATATATTACCTACTGGAAACTAAGTTGAAAAACAATTCAAGAAAAAAGGTAAAAAGCTAATTGAAAAGGTAAAAGTTAAAGTTACAAATTCAATAACCCCAGTTAACAATTATATTTAGGTTTATAAACTAAAAAAATGTCAGTACCAGTATCAGCATTAATGCCTCTAAGGTTATGTTGGACCAAATAAAATGTGTTTCTTTTGTTTTTCATGAGTTTCTTAAAGAAGCAATTTTGTTATTTTTTCTTAATATATTCTGGCAAGTTGGTGTTCCTTGTTATTACATTGATATTTTTTTTCCCATCAAAATATCCATATTCTTTGAATGTTCCAAAGGTAATAAGGTCGTGTCCCAGATTCCAATAACATTATTGGCTTTAAATGTTGATTCTCTGGTATTGCTGGTAACGGACGGTCCAGTCAGCACCGCCATGGAACATTAAACTGGTCTGAGGAGCTTCCAGAGTTTCCACATCTCACAGCATAACATCCACATTTCTCCCAGTAGTTAAGCCTCCAATCCTGGAGCCAATGGCAGAACTCAGGTGATCGAGCTTGAATAAGTGAACAATCCTGAAATCAGTCACCAGCGACCCCCCCCCTCTCTCCATCCTCCCTCCAGGTGCTGTGTCGTGATCGTCTCAGAGACTCAGTGGTTTCACCGTATCCTCCCCAGAGTCTTTGATTGTAAATGAGCTAAGCTCTATTGTTTGCTGTGCTGTGGTGGCGGTGGGGCGGGGTGGGGGGGGGTTGGCTCTGCCTCTCATCTTCTATTCCTCTGCTCTCACGGGCTTCCTCCTCATCTCATCAAGTCCAAACAGTGAAGTCATACCTTCCATGGGGCCTGGTTTTTTTGTGCAGTGTATGATGATATCACCAGCAGCCAATCAGCATGTAGCGCAGCCTGTGGAAGTGTGACTGAGTGTTCGTACGTTGGTGTGGGTGTAAAGAGGTGAGGTGACAGTGGGGTTGTTGGCGGGTAGCGGAGGGGGCATCACAGCTGGGAAAATGACTCATTTATCTGCTTCCTCAGAGAAGCTTGGAAAAACAGAGTATTTTTGTTCTTATTAACCTACTCCATTGTTTCCAGAGGTCATATCTATTTTTATAACAATCCTCATGTTTTTTTTTTCTTCTTTATTGAGGAAAGCTTGGGTTGAGGAAGCTTCTGCTTGTCGGTTCCATTTTGAGGCTGTGTCTCTAAACATGTGGAGAGTTTCTGTTCATAGCTTGAAGTTCTGTCTTCCTAACAGACTTAACTAGTCTGCCACTGTGCTCCTCTGTTAGCTTCTATAGCTAGTCCCAGCCAGCTGTAGCCTCTCCCTGATAGCTATGGCCATTCCTCACTATGTGTACTTGTGCTTCCTCCTGTGCTCAAGAAACGTCATCATCCTCAGCCCTAGCACTGTTCCAATTCACCAGAACAGCAGACTGAGAACGGACAAAGTCCCCAGATGTTGTTCTGGCCCCTCCCTATTTACCCAGCATGCATCAGAGCAGACTTGTCCAAGCTCCAAGACTAACCACAGCCAGGGCTAACGTTAGCCCGTCTGCAGCAGATAGGGCTAACGTTAGCCCGTCTGCAGCAACCAGAGTTAACGTCATCCTGTCTGCAGCAACCAGGGTTAACGTTAGCCCATCTGCAGCAGCCAGGGATAACGTTAGCTCGTCTGTAGCAGATAGGGCTAACGTTAGCCCGTCTGCAGCAACCAGGGTTAACGTCATCCTGTCTGCAGCAACCAGGGTTAACGTTAGCCCGTCTGCCGCAACCAGGGTTAACGTTAGCCTGTCTGCAGCAACCAGGGTTAATGTTAGCCCATCTGCAGCAGCCAGGGATAACGTTAGCCCGTCTGCAGCTGCCAGGGCTAACATTATCCCGTCTACAGCAGCCGGGGCTAACGTTAGCCCATCTGCAGCAGCCAGGGATAACGTTAGCCCGTCTGTAGCTGCCAGGGTTAACGTTAGCCCATCTTCAGCAGCCAGGAATAACGTTAGCCCATCTGCAGCAACCAGGGATAACATTAGCCGATCTGTAGCAGCCAGAGTAAAATTATTACTCAAGTTGTGGATCGCCGCAGAGGGGTAGATTACTAAGATAGGTGCTTAATCCCAAATCTTGTTTTTTTTAGCCTGACTTGTATAAACTCTGTGTCCCAGGTGCCCACGGAGTGCGAGAGGAGCCCCAGTTTGTTACGGCACGCGCAGGAGAGAGTGTCATCTTGGGATGCGACGTGCCTCACCCCCTGAACGGAAAGCCCTATGTGGTGGAGTGGTTCAAGTATGGGATGCAAATTCCTTTCTTCATCAACTTTCGCTTCTACCCTCCTCATGTGGACCCAGAATATGCCGGTAAATATCCAAGATATTCTGCTTCCTCCTTAGATGACAAGAATAACCAAGCTGCTTCATCCTTATTTTAAAATAAGAATACATCTTTTACCCTTCAATGCATGTGGTAGCATGCTGTCTGCCGTATTCGTCTAAATTGCCTATTGAGGCAGATTTGAAAATTGTAATCATATATTCATAGCAGTATTCTTTCATAAAGAGCTTGAACATATATATATATATATATATATATATATATATATATATATATATATATATATATATATATATATATATATATATATATATATATATATATATATATATATATATTTCTATATCAGTTTGTTACTTAAGTAGAAGTATAGATACTGCAGTTTAAAAGTTGAACTATCAACTTAAGCTCTTTACTCAAGTAAAAGTGAAAAAGTATGTGGTCCAAAAACTACTTAAAGTATGAAAGTATAAAGTAACCTTTAAAAAAAACAGCTGTTGCTGTTTGCATCGCTCGTACAAGATACTTTTACAAAAGAAGGTTTTGCAATTATTCCACTATAGCCCCATTTACACTACCCTTGAAAAACCTTGCCGAGACCGGTCCGAGCTCAGTAACTGAGATAACGTATCGTGTGTAAATGGAAAGCAAACTGAACTGAACGGAGCTAGAAACAACCAAACCGAGATAACTGCAGACCAGTTCCAGAGGTGGGCTCGGCTCGGTTTTTACCTGGCTCGGTTCTCTGATAACAAGAGCGCATGAGCAGAACGCGTCATCTCCATCTGGCTGCACATCGCGATTCACACTCCATTCCAGTAGTTGGCGGTAATGCCCCTCCGGAAGTTGCTTTCCAACCAACACAAAACAGAAGAAGAAGAACAACTATAAACAACAATCAAAATCTTCTCCACGCAGCATTTTAAATAATAACACCGAAGTACAGCAATAATAATCAAGCATAACTTTCTGAATGTGATGGGTGCCGCCATTTTGATTTGCTTGATTCCCTCCTTCTTCATCGTCTTCTTCTTCTTGTGTTTTATGGCGATTGGCAAACAACTTTTGGTGCATTACCGCCACCAACTGCTTGATTTCCTCCTTCAATACCGGCAGTAATACCGCAGATCGTCACTAGAAGGCGAGGAGTCGAGGAACCGAGATAGCGTGATGTGTAAACGGTCGTCAGAACCGAGCTCGGCCTGGTTAACTGATCCGGGCTCGGCATGGTTTTTAAAGGGTAGCGTAAATGGGGTATATGTCAGACTTACCACTGGTAATTGAAAATGGTGACGAGCATGTAGGACGGCCTTATGTAAACATATCACCAGAATGATTGACAGTTACGAGAACCACTGATTAAGATGATCCACACGGAAAAAGAACATCCTCCACTAAACCTTTAACTTTTAATCTATAATGAAACTATATACATTTTATAAATCAATAAAGGTTGTTTAAAAATAACCTTACTTTTTACTTAATTGTTTGCTGAAGATGCACCAGAGCAGGATTTTTGCCTCTCCCTAATAGATCTGTTAATTTGCCCATTTTCTGCGAGCGCTCGGATCAGCTGTGCTCTCCCTGTTGTGAATTATAACAGCTTTAATGAGATTACATTTTCTTCAGAGGCTGCCGTACTTTTCAACCCACATTATTTATGTGCAGCCCAGGAGAGGGGTTTCCCTCCTGTTTACGTCTGCCCTGGTTTGTATTGCCCTGGTTTGTATTTTGCAGTGCCCTGCACTGCAAAATACAAATACTGATTGTATGGATTTTTATCATGCTTGTCACGATGTAGTAAATAAATTGTGATTTTATCTGCCTCCGGGGCTTCAGATACCGAGACATAAAGGGTTTATAAAACAGAGGAATGTAGATGCTTGATGGGCTGAAGGTAAAATTTCATGCAGTGTATACAAGTATTTTTGTTTGATTTTATTAGTTTTTATTCAATTAAGTTTATGTAATCGCAAAGCACTTTACAGTTCACCAGATCATCCAGTCAGATTGATTCTGTCACGATGTTGGTTCTATTAAGTTTTCTTTTGAGTATTGTTTCACTTTGCTCCATGTTTTCTATTTTTATTGGTTTAATTCGTATTTTGTTGTGTTTTCTGGATATATTTAAGTTCTTTGGCTTTTCCTTGGTTCTGGTTTGTGTTACATTTTAAGTTGGATTTTGGATTCCTTCCTCCGTTAACTTTTAGCATTAATTAAAACTGCATTTGGGTTCTCAAAAACCACAACCAAACCCTCACAGAACAACTGCAGAACAACCGATCCGAGACACAGCCCTGTTCACTATCATACTGTGTGTCATGATGGGTTCTCAAAGAGCGACCCAAGTATGCAGAACACCACTGACGGACACAGGGATAAAAGTTCAACAAGTTTATTTTGATACAAGCACACTGAATGTACTGGTTCTGGCTCGGGCCTGGATACTGGTTCACCGGAGTCTGCGTGAGAGACAGTTCAGTTAGCGTTGCAAGCAGGAGCTTGATTTCTAGATGATAACTGATTGTACCTTGAGGGTTCTTGAGGTTAGCTTTGGGAGAGTCACTGTTGGATCTGGAGAGGAGTTGATCAGCAGAGTCCGCTTGCTGCTTCAGCGTCTCACGTCTAATTGTGAACAGACCTTGGGTTAGGGTTTTCCAGCTCTTAGTCTTGAGCTGCATGGAAGTTCTCTATGGTTCTTCGGGTTTGGCTCAGAGGGTCGGCTCGGCAGGTTAGCTCTTCCTGAGCTTCACAGAGGAGACACTGGTTTCCTGGAAGACAGAGACAACGGTTAGAATCCTGGCTGGATTCAAAGTCACAAAGTAACACTGAGAGTCTTGGCTTAGGCGCTGACCAACTGGATCAACGCTGCGGCGTTGAGGCAAGGTCTGATGACAGCTTATATAGTGGATCCTCTGATGATCTTGATGGGCTGCAGCTGTACAGGAGGCTCACTCAGAAGGATCCACGGCGGACTCTGCTGGAGAAAGGTGGAACTTCTCCAGCTCCCAACACTGTGGGCGGCCAGTGAGGTAGTGCAGAATCCACTGGGACATGTGCTGGTCCACTCCTGACAGCTCCAGCATGGCCCTTAGGACTCCTGGGTGGATGGTGTTGAAAGCACTGGAGAAATCAAAGACCATGATCCTCACAGTGCTTCCAGGTTTCTCTAGGTGAGTCAGAGGTTGGTGCAGCAGGAAGATGATGGCATCATCTGGCCCAATCCCAGGACGGTAGGCAAACTGCACTGAATCCAATGAAGTCTTCACCAGGGGGGATCGATGGTGGAAGACCAACCATTCGAGAGTCTTCATCAGGTGTGAAGTCGGCGCTACTGGCCTGCAGCTGCTGAGGTCCTGTGGATGTTTTGTCATTGGCACCGGTACCACGCAACAGGTCTTCCACAGCTGTGGAACTTCTCCCAGCCTCAGGCCGAAGTTGCAGAAGATGCCTCACAGTTCGTCTGCACAACATCAGAAGCCCGGAGCTGACGTCATCTGGACCCACAGCCTTTCGCACCTTGATCTTTTTCAGCTCCTTTCTCACATGTGTTGTTTTAGCGACAAGATGGCGGGGGTGGGCTGTGTGATGGAGTCTTTGGAGTGGGGGGGGGGGGGTTGGGTGATGGTTGGGAGCTGGGATGTGTGAAGTACTCAGTCGTTGAAGAAGCTGAAGGTAGCCGCAGGGGGTTCTGGGCTGGGAGAGGAGTGGGTGGCTGATCGACCCGTTGAAAAACTGGTTCAGGTCGTTAACCCACTTCAAGTCTCCAGAAGTCTGTGTGTTCTGATTTTGGCCTGAGATTTTCTTCAGGCTTTTCCAGATCGCTCTAATGTTGTTCTGCTGCAGCTGATCCTCCATCTCCTTCTTGTAGCTGTTAGACTTCTTTATTTGTCATTTTGTATGCACAGGGTGCATACAGAACGAAATTGCGTTACATACAGCTTATGAACGTTGCATTGATATTTCAAATGGCACGAGTTATAGAAAAATACAAAAAGTGCAGCAGTGGTCAAAGTGTGAACAGTGCAGAGGATAAGAGACAGTGTGCAAGTTGCAGTGGTTCAGTGCAAAATGGCATTTGTGCAAAAAATGCGTTATTGAAAAATGCAATGAGATGAACAATTTAAAGGGCTAAAAGTTAAAAGTTCAGCAGCATTTGATGCCCGATAATGTGCAATAGGTGCAGAGTTCGGATTGTGGATCAAAGGTTCAACAGTCTGATGGCAGTGGGGAAGAAGCTGTTGCACAACCTGGTGGATCTGCAGCGGATGCTGCGGAACCTCTTTCCAGAGGGCAGCAGGGAGAACAGTCCATGGTGGGGGTGTGAGGGGTCTTTGATGATATTACGGGCTCGGGACACACAGCGCTGTGATGAAATGTCCTTAATGGAGGGAAGAGGAGCCCCAATGATTCCTTCCGCTGTCCTCACCACCCTCCTCACATTCTTCCAGTCAGAAGCTCTGCAGCCTCCACACCACAGAGAGAGACAGCTGGTCAGAACGCTCTCTATGGTGCTTCTGTAGAAGGTTGTGAGGATGGGCGGGGGCAGGCGGGCTCTCCTCATCCTCCGCAGAAAGTACAAGCGCTTCTGTGCCCTCTTCACTAGAGATGAAGTGTTTACAGTCCAGGTGAGGTTGTCCGTGATGTGCACCCCCAGGAACTTTGTGCTGCTGACCACCTCCACAGCTGAGCTGTTGATGAGCAGTGGAGCATGGTGGGGGCGGTTTTTCCTGAAGTCGACGATGATCTCCTTCGTCTTCTCCACGTTCAGGATCAGACTGTTTTCACTGCACCAGTCCACCAGCTGCTCCACCTCCTCTCTGTAGTCCCGGTCGTTGTCGTCCCTGATGAGGCCCACCACCGTGGTGTCGTCCGCAAACTTCACGATGTGATTGGTGGTGAACCTGGGGACGCAGTCATATGTCATCAGGGTGAACAGCAGGGGGCTCAGGACGCAGCCCTGAGGGGAGCCCGTGCTGAGGGTGATGACATCAGAGGTGTTCTGACCGACCCGGACTGACTGAGG